AGCCTAAGACAGGACACAAGTCTTATGTCCCTTTTCTTTTTCTCCCGTGGCTGGCATCCACTTGCACTAAGCTGCTCATTGATTTCTGGGTTATATGAAATGCTACAAGGCAGGATGTGGGATATGTGTTCCAAGATGGACACCATGGTACTGGATGACACACCTTGGAAGTGCAGGGGAGTTTGTTCTCCATGGGGTGAATCTTGACTATAGGAGGAAAATTAATGTATCCACTATTTTCACCCTCCTTGAACTTCTGTGAAGTGTGGTTTCTCTTTGCAAACCTTCCAGGGAATTTCTGTGTACTAAGAAAGCACAGCTCCCAGGAGACCTACTGTGTTTCTTTGGAGCTTTGTTGTGTAATTGTGTGGCAGTTACCTGCATAATCACTCATGCATCTTCTCTTGTTTCATTTCCCAATTTTTTCCTAACCCTAACTACCCTGAGTTTGGACCTCCCAAATAAAGTCTCAGTACTATACCCTTGCCTCAGGCTCTGCTTTCCAGAGGCACTAAGCTAAGGCATGGAGTTGGTTTTGTATATCTCTAAGGACTCTTTCAGCTCTGACATACTAGAGTTGGGCTGAATTTCATTATAAAAAAACATTGTATATCTACTGTACTGGACATGAAGCACCATTTAATTCTCACAGAGATTAGTATGTGAGGTATGTCAAGGGTCTTGCTTGTTGCAATTCAAATCAGAGCAACAGAGGATGTTATAATAATTATTATTAATGCTAGGTATTGAGTTAAATACTTTAAATTTTAAAGTATTTGATCCTCATTAAAACCTTATTGGGTCGTATTATTATCCTCATTTTACATAAGAGGAAAAGGAAGTTCAGAGAGGGTAAGCCACTTTCCTAAATTGCACAGTAAGTGGCCAAGCCAAGATGTGAAACCAGGTCTGACAGATTCTAAAAACCATGTCCGAAATTGTATGCTAATTTACTCTATCTGAATAAACAAGTACAATAATCTTTCAAAACTTTTTCTTTGGACACTTACCAGTGAAGATATATGGATGGCAAATAAGCACTTGAAAAGATGCTCAACATCATTACTCATCAGGAAAATGCAAATTAAAACCTTAATAAGATACCACTACACACCCACGAGAATGACTAAAACTGAAGACTGACCATACCTGGCATTGGTGAGGCTGTGGAGGACCTGAGCTCTCATACACTGCTGGTGGGAATGTAAAGTGGTGCAATGAATTTGGAAAACAGTTGGCGGTTTCTTAAAAAGTTAACCATAAGTTGGCCAGATGACCCACCCGATCCACTCCTAGGTATTTACCCAGGAATAATGAAATTACGTCTACTCAGAGACTTTTGTATGAATGTTCATGGCAACTTTATTTCTAAGAGACAAAAACTGAAAACATTCCAAATGTCCATCAGAGGTGAATGGATAAACAAATTGTGGTATAGCCATAAATGGAAATCCATTCTGTAATGAAAAGGGATGAACCTTTGATACATGCAACAACATGCATGAATATAAAAATAATGATGCTGACTAAAAGAAGCCAGATAAAAATGAGTTCATATTCTGTGATCCCACATATACAGGGTCCCAAGTTCTAGAAAATGTAATAACAATAGAAAGCAGGTCTGAGGCTGCCTGTCTGTATGTTTGGGGATCAGTATGTGAAGAGGGGAGGGAAGGATGGAAAATAAAGGAACAAGGAAAATTTTAGGGGTGGTGGATATGTTCACTGTCTCAAGAGTGGGGATGGTTTCATGGGAGCATACATATGCCAACTCTCTTCAGTGGTATGCTTTAAAAATACACAGTTTATTGTAGTTCTATTATGTCTCAAAAAGCCAGAACAAAACAAAACAAGTTGTGTGGATAACTGAGCACACAAGAAGTCGCACTGGAGAATTGCTCTTTTTCATTTTATTTTGGGATTACCTATGGAAATCAAACCAAATCGAATCAAAAGCTGATCGATTTTGTCATGGTTGACTCAACATGGTATAGCCCAAAGAGAGGAGGAGGTGAGGATGCAGAACTTGGCAATTTGAAAATAATCGCTTTACCTCCTTGAGCCTTAGCTGCTTCATCTACAAAATGGGCATGCCTCTTGTTGCCCTGCCTCCCCCATGAAACTCATTGGAGGAAAAATAAGTGACCTTGCTTTCAAGTGTGAAGGACCAAATTTCCTCGTCTATGTAACACATGCTTGCCAAGCACTTGGTGGCAATCCCAGTCCTGGATACCACTGGCCCATCTGAGGGGTGCTGGGAGCTTACAGCCCCCACCCCTGGAGTCAGCACTCACCATCTCCCCTTTGGGCTCTCAGGCTGACTGCTACTCTGTGGCTTTGTTCCCAGACCCTGTTTGGCTGGTGCCTTAAGGCCCATTTGTGTCCCTGCTTCCCACCTGCTCTGATGGCCCAGTTGGCCTCACATCTTCTTCTGCATTGTCTCCAGCTCCTCATGTATCATCTGTCACGTAGGGACAACAGGGTAGGCCTGCCCACTCATACCAAGATCAAAGAGGGAGAGGCTCCCATTGGTCAGTCTCCTCAGGCACTGGGGAGACAGACCTGGATGGAGAGGGAACCCACAGTCTGGTGGGAGAGGCAGACCTACAGGCCTGCTGTGCCAGCACCTATCCGGTGTGAGGCTTTATGGCTGGGGTGCCATAGGCTGCCCCAGGCATGAGGGGGCACAGGGTGGCAGTAAAAGGAGGCTTCTTAGATGAGGAAAGGGCACAGCTGGACTCAGAAGGATGGGTGAGTACTTGGCAGATGGACGTAGGAGAACATTCCAGACAGAGGATATGAGATCCCTTCCTATAGGGCAAAGGCCTTAGAGCATTGAGACACTGTGAATGGTCTGGTGTCACCAAACCCAGCAGGAGGTGAGGCTGTAGGGAAAGGCAGGGACAGATCCTGGAGGGAAGTGTGGTGCACATGCCGAGGGCTTTGGGGTTGAATCTGTGGGCTGGGCAGGCACTGAAGGGTTCCTGTGGAGGTGAAAGTCATAGCTCACTCTGGTGGGGCAGAAGGGTTCATTTGTGGGGCCCTCTTCAAATCTTCCCCAGGAGGGTTGCTTTCTCTCTGGAGCAGGGTTTCTTAACCATGGCACTACTGACACCTGGAGCCAGACAAGCCTTTGTTACAGGCAGTGGTCCTGTGCCTTGTAAGATGTTCAGCAACAGTTTCCCTGGCCTCCGTGCACTAGATGCCAGCGCTGCTCCCCGAGCTGTGACCACAAATGTCTGCAGACATTGTCCCTGGGGTGGCAAACTGCTCTCAGAACCACTGCTCTACAGTTTGCCTTGTTTTTTGAGCTATGTATACAGATGGCCCTGCCTCTATTTGCCCTCTTCCCTCCTTCCAAAGCCCAACACTACCTGGCTTCCAGCCCTTCCACGAGGTACACGGCTGGGTGGTGCCCTTGCCTCCCTCACAGCCCCACTCAGCACCAATGGCACTACCTCCCTGCTCAGGGGCACCGGCTGGGGCTGGCTCTGGGGAGTCAGCTGCCAACAGCTCAGGCCGCCTCTGCATCAGGCCAGCAGGGCACCTAATCCCCTGTGGGGCACAGCATGTGGTGTCGAGGAGACTCCTGGATGGGGTCCCACCTCGAGGTTGGCTGGGATCAGAACTATTCAAGCCTGTTGGCCCTGTACCCTCTGTCCCTCAGGCCTGCTCTCTGCCAAGCTCATAGCCTGGAGGGACAAGTCAGCCTAGGAAGCCTGCCAGGGAGAGGGCACCAGGTCGGGGACAGAGGGCAGGTGGTGGCAGCTAGAGGCCATGTGACTGCTGGAGGCTATGTGTGTCACAGGGCAGAGCCGGGCCACTGGCTCATTCCTGGCCTCAATCTGAGAAGGCTTCACATGACTTCTCTGTGGGAGCCTGCATGCCGGGGGCAGGAGAGATGGTGGGAGGGAGGGGGAAGTGATTTTAGGATCCGGGCTGGAAATACAAAATATATTTGTGAATCACAAGCAGATATTCATCACATGGCCCACTGAGTTCGCCTATGCAGAGCCCAGGCTTCGGGTGCAAAACCCGTATCCCGCCCCCGGCTCTCTGCAGGCTCTGTAGCCAGCGGGGCAAGGGGATTAGGGTAGGAGGTGGGGGCGCCGGCCAGCCACCTGGTCTCCATCTCCCAAAACTTCAGCCAAACCAGAACACAAAACCCATCCCCAGTTTTGGCACGTTCCACATGCTTATTCATATGTTAACCTCACAACAGCCCCATTTCTCAGTGAGAAAACCAAGGCCTGGAAAAATTCCTCTGTGTTCCCTTTTCTTCCTTCCTTTCAGTTTCCAGGGTTTAATTTAGTTTAATTTTACTTTAAAACACGTCACATAGCTCCCTCTACATCACTGTGGCCCTCCAAGGCACTTGCTGGCAGGTCCCTGCTGTTGACAGGATGAAGTGAGGGGTCTTGAAATCGCCCTTCCTCCATCCAGGCTGCCGGAGCCTACAACCACCAGCCAAGAGGGTCAGAAGTGCAGGACACACCAGGGTCAGGCAGCTTCTGCAGCTGTCAGGGTGAGACCAGGTCCTGGCAGGCCTCCGAATGCCAGGGAGGCTCCTTCTCCTGAGGAGTGAGAGGAAAGCCCCAGGGTTCCTCCAGTAGCCCCGCCTCCCAGCTCCCAGAGGGCCAGGAGCTTTATTTAGTTGTGCTGAAATCCCGCAGACCTGGACCAGGACTCCTAAGCCCATGTCCTCACCATCCAGGAGGACAAAAGCTTGTGAGCAGGCTCTGTCCCCTCTGGGAAGAGAGCCACCTGCCTCGTGCTTGCTGAATGCCTGTCCTCTAGGGTTATTACTTTCAAAATAACATCTAATATATTTAATCACATTACATAAGCAAGATAGGTTCCGTACAGAACAGTTGGAAGTCCAGAACAGTATATGAAAGGAGATTAAAAATTCACCATCATCTCACCAATCAGAGACAACCCATCCCTGCTGGAATGTTGGTAGACAGCTTTCCCACCTATTCCTGAGTCATGGGTATGCATATAACCCACTAGAAGAAGGAAAACCACAGTAATACTTTAGATTAAAGTTACTGAGGCACAACATACCCAGTAAAAGGCTCAAATCTTCAGTGTGCAGCGCAGTACATTTTGCCTGTGACTGCACCCTTCAAACCGTCCCTCAGATCCAGACGGAGAACATCTCCACATCCCCGAAACGACACTAGCGGTACTCTGACTTCCACTGCTCCAGATGATTTGCTTGTTCTTGAGCATCGTGTGAATGGATCCACACAGCATCTACTCTTTGTGTCTGGCTTCGCTCACCCAATCCATGCATCTACCACAAGCCCTGGCCTAGAAAAGGCACCCAACGTTGGCACCTGGAATGTGTGTCGGATGAATGTCTAGTAATGGAATGAGGAGGTGAGTGGGCTTTGGTTGTGGGGTGGTGTCCTGCGTTTTTTAGCCACCATCTGGCATCTGTGGGGAGAAGGGGAGCTGTCAGGAGGTCTAATAATCCGGGTGAGAGCAGATGACCCTGAGCTAAAGGGGGGGCTGTGGGGAGAGTGAGGAGGGAGTGGGCTCTGCACTCCTGTCTGCCTGGCACTCACAGGGGTAGGATTGGTGCCCAGGAGCACCAGGTAGGGGGTACTTTAAGAAACGCCATCAGAGCAGCCACTTGACATGGTGGCTGCCTCACTGTCACAGTGTCCCAGGCTCAGCAGTGACTTGGGGTGCTGAACAGCACATAGTGGAGATGCCCCACTGGGAAATGCAAGCCCTTGGCTCCTGGAGAGATGGGCACTGTTGTCCTGCACACCCAGAGTGAGATGCTTACTCTCTAGGATCAGAATGGCGGCACAAGGCCCAGCCATGGGGGCCCCCTTTTATTATTTAAAGGTCTCAGGATTGTAAAGGACCCATCTCCTGCCCCTCAGCCCATCTGAGGCTTGAGCCCCTTTTGACATTCTTTCTAAGGCACGCTCAGCTTCCACGCCTCCCTTCCCCCTCTGTCTGTCATCAACACCCTGGCCTCAGTGACCATTACCTCTCACCTGACCTGCTCTAGCGCCCTCCATCTGCTGGTACTTGCTGTTATCTACTCTGCAGGCAGGGGTCGGGTGCTCTCCAAGCAGGAGCCTCACTGAGTGGCTGGACTGTGGCACAAGGAAACAGGACTGGAGAGGGATGGACCCCCAGGCAGCAGGAGCTGCTGGGCTGTGCTGGGAAGGAGGGAGCCCTGGAGAGAAGGGCGGGGAGCTGCCCTGAGCTCTGTTGGTGTAAGAGGTTTGATGGGGCAGGGACAGGAGGGGCAGTGCTGGTATGACACAGGGGGCTGAGGCCAGGCAGGATGTTGTTATTTGATGAAGATTCATTGCCCATGATTTCTTTCCTTGGGCTTATCATTAATGGGTCATAGGAGATTAAAAGGATGGGGGTGGTGCTAGGTTTGGTTTTTTTTTTTTTCTGTATCACTAGGGAGATGGCGATGGCTCTGGGAATGTGGTAAATTGGTTCTCCACGAGCTTATGAGTTATTGGAGTAGAAGATAACCATGCTATAAACTTCTAAACCAGAGACAAACAGGCTGTGAACAAGCTGTTAGAACAACCAGCATGTTGCAGTTAAATAATTCCTAGTCGATTATTGAGTGGGCTGCCTGGCGTGGTTTGTTAATGCTGTCCCAGAGAACAGTGATCAGATCAGCAGTGTTTTGGGGTTGCATGTGGAAGGAGCTCCCCTCAGCTGACTGGTGCTGTCCTCCACCAGGTGATTCAGTGGTCAGACTTGCTCAGGCAAGAGGGAGCTGTGTCACGACAAGCACTGCACCCACGTGCCAGTTCCGACCAAGGGCCAGATCACAGGGTCAGTAATGCCTCCTGGCCAGAGGATGCGAGCCGGGCAGCTGTCCCTGACATGCCAGCCAGGAGAGGTCCTCTTACCAAGGCCTTGGTCACTGTGGGGAGTATGAGTCTCCTGTGCTCAGAAGGGCATGTGAGTGGCTATGGTCAGAGGGAGGCAGGGAGCCTGCTCCTGGCTTGCACCTAGATATGCATACAGGAAGCTGGGAGGAGGCCTTTAAGGCCAGGATGGAGGGTTCTTCCAGCATCCCCTGCGGCCAGAAGAATGGGGTCCTTGATGCACTCAGGGATCAGCTGGGAGAAGAGATAGGAGCTGAGCACGTTGCAGTTAAATAATTCCTAGATTGCAGAACATCTCCGAGCTTCATTTTCTTCTTTTGTAGAATGAGTAAAATAAGACGAGGAATGAAAGTGCCCTATAAATTGAATGATGTTATATGAATCTAAGGCATTATTTACCTGCTCCAGAAATCTTTGTGTTTAATATTTTTATCAACAAGTTGGAGGAAGATACTGGATACATGCTTATCAGATGGGTGTGGAAAGTAAAGCCAGGAAGGCTGGCAGAGCCACAGGTAAGGGGGACCTTGCCCTGCAGCATCTGAAAACCCTACACTACTTGGTTTCTCTCCCCTGGGTGCCCTCTCTGTGTGACCATCAGAACACGCAGTGCCCCTAAAGGAGCTCCATCCTTCCTGACGTGCTGCTGCCTCTCTCTAGCTCAGGCTTTCTCCATCTCAGCACCAGGGTCATGGAGGACCAGATAATTCTCTGTGGCGGGGCTTCCCTGAGCACTGTAGAACATTTAGCAATATCCCCGGCCTCTACCCCTAGATGCCAGTAGTGTGACTACTGTTCTCCTTGTGACAACCAAATGTCCCTGGGGGACAAAATCGCCCCTGGTTGAGACCATATGCTTTCTCCATCTCAGCACCAGGGTCATGGAGGACCAGATAATTCTCTGTGGCGGGGCTTCCCTGAGCACTGTAGAACATTTAGCAATATCCCCGGCCTCTACCCCTAGATGCCAGTAGTGTGACTACTGTTCTCCTTGTGACAACCAAATGTCCCTGGGGGACAAAATCGCCCCTGGTTGAGACCATACTGCTAGCTTTATTCTTTGCATGTCCCTGCCTGCATCATATGTGGCTCTGCTCATACCAAAGTACACGCGGCTCTTTAAATAAAGGTTTTCTATGCCTTCCCACACCTTTGCATACCTGGATCTTTGCCCCCACCATCCCTTCCCACTCCTGCCTTTGGAGCTTCACAAAGTCCTGCTCGTCTTGGAAAACACATCTCAAGCATCCCTTCTCTGAGGACACTGTGTCGGAGACTCCCCACCAGCTAGCAGACTCACAACATACTTCTTCTGGAGCCCTGGCTGCATGGATTCTAATTTTTTGCTGGTGACTGTCTCTCCCACTGGACTATAAACTTTTTGAGGGCAATTCCTAGATCTTGCTTGCTTATCTTTGCTTACCGGTGCCTGGTACACAGCCTTGCCCAGAGTGGGGCTTAGTGAATAACTAGTTGAGTATAATATTACTCAGTGAATCTCTATGAGCTGGGCACAGGATGTATAATGCTCCAGTGCAAATGAGAAGATTTTCTGGATCTTAGTAAAGCAAAGAGTCTAGTATTCCATCCTTAGGCAGCATAGTACAAGCTCATGTATTGGGCGGAAAAAAAGAAACGTATTATTATTTTAATCTCCAGGACACCAGAAAGGTTTAGAGGAGGTTTTCCTCCTGTGAAACACCTTTTCCAGACTCTACCCTTGCAAGCACCCTGGTGTGGATGCAGCAGGGAGCACTTTCTGTTTGAAAGATGCTGAGGATGGACACTAACCCCAGCCAAACTTTTTCCTTGCTCCCCTCCAGAGCATGGGGCTCCACCTCGTCTCCCTTAAACACGAATATGATCCCTCCTGTCCAAGAGCGCAGCCCCGCCCTGCGGCTCCCCGCACCCTTGGCTACGGGACTTTCTCCAGCTCTCCCCTCTGCATTGTCAAAACGGGAACAGACTGCGCAGAAGGAACGCGTTTGGTGCTGAGACCGGAGCCAGGGCAATACGAGGCAGATCCAGACAATCTGCTCTGTTCCTCCCAAGGAGAGAGGAAAGGCTTTTATTACTTGCTGACAATTAAGTCAGCAATGGGAAAATCTCTGGGTGACCAAAGCTAAGCAAAGCAAGAGACGTACATCATGTACTGATGCACCTTGAAAAATAAAAAAGCCTGCTTTAAATCGTCAGGCTTCATCGTGTGCGCATGCTGCGGGTGGTGGTGGTGGTGATACGTATGTACTAAAGGAAAAATCATGGGCTCCCAGATACAAAAAACCATCCAGTCGTACCTCCACCCATGGCTGGAGTGGCACTGATGACCCCCCTCCCTCAAGCTGGTCGCCTTCAGCGACAGGGACTTCTCACCGCGTTAGCAAATGTTAGATGGCTCTGTCTGCTAGGAAGCTCAGGCCGCTCTGGTGCTTTATCCTTTTGTCCTAAGCCCAATTCTCTGTTTCATTTGGAAGTGGTCCAATCCTTCTTCCCCAGGGAAGATTTTTTGAGGCAACTACTTTACTACCCAAATCTATTCTTCTGGCTACACAGACCCTGGTTTTCAATTGTCCTCCCTGTGACACAGTTTTTGAGTCTCCTTTCTTCCTGATCTTGTCACCACAATAGGTAACACGATACCCCAGATTGCTGCAGTTCTCAGAGGGTCTGTTATTTGGGTTAGACAAGTTTTCCAGAGGGCTGAGGAGTTATCTCTTCAGCAAGAAACTTAAAAAAGCATGATGGAAAGATTTCAAGCATACAGGATATAGGTCCTTTTAGAATGTGCACGTCTCTGCCAGTTCTCTGACATTTTTTACCACCTCTGACTTCATCTCTCACCACTTCTCTCCATTTGCCTCCCTACACCTCTTTGCATACCACCTTCCAACAAGACTGGACTTTCTGTACCATCCCTGAAAGAATCAGAACCCATGAGTGGGAGCTGCCTAGAGTCAGATCACCCCTGGCTATGAGAAGTGCCTGCCAATGGCTGAGTAGTTCAGATATGGGAAGGGTGGCGCCAGCTGGGAGCTGCTAAGGTTTAGACTCCAGGGGCCCATAATCTGTTTCAGCCCTGTGATTTTGTGATCGTGGGCAAAGATTCCATAAGGGGGCTTTATGTGAAATGGGACGCCTGGGTGTCCTTGTGTCAGTTGTGGGAGAAGGGAAAGAAGCCAGTTCCTTTAGTCACATGGCTGTGGGCTGAGCTGAGCCCCTGGAGAAGTGGGAGCAGCGCACACAGTGTGAGAGGGAGGGCGAGGGAAGGAGGATGTGCTTCTGTCTCCTGCGACTGGAGGACGTAAGGGACAGGGGGTTGTGTGTCCGTGGGTCAGGCCTCTCGCTCTCTCTCTGTCTCTCAGGGGACTGGCTGGTTCTCTGATTGGTCTGGGCTGGAGTCTGGGACATTACCTTGGAGCTATTTGCCAAATTCCTGGACAGCAAAGTAGCCAGTGGACTTATCATAATGTGGGATGTCAGAGTTTTCACAGAATCCCAGAATTCAGGTCTGAGAGGGACTTTCACATCATTCCACTCTCAGAGGCTAGCACACCTGACCAAGCTGTCATCCAGCCTCTGCCGGATGTCAGATTAAAGAAGATGATGCCTGGGAATCACATGCCACTGGCAGGTAGATAAATGTCTTCGTTTCCCCTTTCTTCCCTTCAAATGAGAGGAAGCACACCACCTCCTAAGACAACTCACTCCACCTCTGAGCAGCTTTGACTTGAAATCTGCATAGCCGAGTGTCCCCAGGACATCTTCCTCTCAATCCCATGTTATTGGGGGAATCAGAAGTTATTTATTACTATTGTTTATGATAAATATTAATAATAACTCTTTAGTGGGTACTACCCTCTGCTAGACACTAGGTGAAGTATTTTATAAGGTGAACACAAAGTTAGGTTTATGAAACTCCAAATCTCACTGGGTCACAGCTATGAGGTCCCAGAGAGATCATTTTATCTAGTCTTCATGTTCTAGAGTATGATATCTAGGCTTAGATCTTAAACAATCAACACTCTTTCAGGGATGGATGAAAATAGAGTCTCCCTAAAGGAGGCCATGGTCACAAGGATTTGGGGGTACCTCATCTTCCTGAGGTTTCCAAGAAGCCAGTCCTGCAGGAATGTAGTTAAAGTCTGTGGTTACCCTCAGGATCACCCAGAGAGCCTCCACAGGACTGTCTGCCCATCCAGTGACAAGAGACTGGGCCCAAGGGGATGCTGTGCAGAGTCCAGGGGAAACGGAGGGCCTTCTCTGGCTGCTGCAGACAGCGGAAAGAGGCAATGACATTCTTAGGTTGGGTTCCCCAGAAGCAGAAACTGAGACAGGGTATTAGGAACCCTGTGGTTTGCTGAGGGACTGCTCTGCAGGAAAAACCTGCAAGGGAGGGTGGTGAGGAAGCAGGGTAAGGAGGGGGAAGGGGATGAACACACAGTAGTCCAGGATAGGGCTACCATATAAAATATAGGATGTTTGGTTACATTTAAATTTCAGATAAATGAGAAATATTTTGCTACAAACGTTCTAATATTGCATGGGAGACACAGTAAAAATGTATGCTTCATTTATATGAAATGTGAATTTAAGTAGATACCCTGTATGTTTATTTCCTAAATCTGCTGACCCAGTCAAGGCTGGCCAATCAGCCTCATTTGCCCAACACTGAGGGTTTTTCTGGGACATGGAACTTTCAGTGTTAAAACCAGGATAGGCAAACTGGGATAGTTGGACACCCTAAACTGTGGTCTGCAGTAAAGCCTAGCCTTGGCCCAATCCTTGGGCAGGGTGTGGAAGGGGACTGACCCTCTGATGCCTAAAACACACTGCAGGTTGTCCCTTTTAGGGGAAGGGACTGCCCTTTTGCATCCTTCTGTTACTTAGTCATTGCCTGTGCTGGGTGTGGTTCGGGGGGGTAGGTCTGGGGAGAAAGTTGTAACCTTCTGGAAAGGCATCTGCTGTTTCCTGAGAGCAATTCTCCTGAGAAAGGGGGCAGTCGTGGGTCATTAACAGGCAAACAAACAGGGTGCCTTCCCAGCGCTGGAGGGTGGGTGCATGGACCTCCAACATGGGACCAGGGTGGAGGACCACAGTGCCTTCTACTCTGTCTATGGCCCTCCAGCCTGCAGGCTGTGCTCCACCCATCAAGGGAAGGGTTGAGAACTAAGCCTGACTCCAGTCCACTGATCAACAGTGTGTTTCCTCTGGGATGCACAGGTAATTCCTGCACTGACTAGCCCGGGACCTACTGCCGTGTTCACAAAGTGCGAGGAAAAGGGGCTCGCATTATTATTCCTAGTGGGAAGAGAAAGGACCAGGACAGATTTCAGAGGGAGTAATATCTGCACCAGGCCTTGAAAACTGGGGATTTGCCAAGGGTGGGGAGTGGGGAGACCAGGTGATGGTGATAGGAAAGGTGCGGCCAAAGGCATGAAGGTCAAAGTCATGGAGTCGAGGTGTGGAGGTTTGGCAATGTAGAGAGGTCTTATCAAGGCCTCCAGGAAGCAGCTATCCAGGACTTTGATCTCTTTTCTGCAAACCGGTCCTGAAGTCTGGTAAGCACAAGGCCTTGCCAGGTTGCACATTCTGGGACAGCTTTTTTTCTGAACTGAAAGAGCATCTGGTTCATGCAAAAGGCTGAATGATTTATTTTCTGACCCAAGCTAATGTTTTGGAAAAGTGCTGGCGGCCCTACTGACCTAGGGATGCCCGGGCACCTGGGGAACATCCCATCTCCTGGCAGGGGAGGCCCCGCCACCCGGGCCTGGCCCAGATCAATGGGAAGACAAGCTTCCTTCTCACCTTTCCAGTATATCCTGAAACCAGAAGCCTCATGACACTGGCTCCTCTGTTACTGCTCTGGGATTTCAGCTCTGGCTGAGGCAGGACACCCACACTGCTGAGAAGCCTGAGAAGCTACAGGGACAAAGGTACAGGGAGGGTCGGCCAGGGAGGCTGATGGGACCCATCCCAGATCAGTGACCCCATTTCTGGGCTGAACTAGGCCTAGGATTGGTAGAACTCAGCATCTAAGCCTTCCACTGGCTCCGAGATTTCTTTTTCAGGGCTCTGCTGAGGGAAACAGGGTTACTAAGCTCTTATTTCAAGCACTTACTTGCTGTGTGACCTTGAACATGTCACTTGGCCTTGCTGAGCCCTCTTTCACATCTATGCTAATGATTAATACCAGCTTTAGCAAATAAGTCTTGTAGCATTTGGCAGCTTTCAAAGCAGCACATTCACATAAATTCTCTCATTTAAACTGCAAATTGTGAAGGGGGTGAGTGGGTAAGGTGGTATTAGTAGCTCCATTTTAGGGAGCATAAACTGAATTAAATAAAAGCAATGTAACTTGCCCTAATGTTACAGTTGTTGGGCTTCTGGGCTTAGGGTTCTTGACTCTAGGACACGAAGTAGATAATAATCTTTTATCAGAGTCTCCAGGAAATGTCTGAGCCAGAGTCAGCAATTTTAAAGTCTTGATGATGGGGACTGAGAGAACATTTGGTTTGCATGAGTTTTCTGACACCTACAGAAGCTGGGTAAGAAGGGCAGGGTGGTCTACAATTGGTGCTGTATTCTGTTTCCACTATAGTCTGATGGGGATTCAAACCTCTTTACCCTTGGAAATGTAATATAAATATTTCACTCTGAAGCCAAGATCCAAGTGATTGTTGGAGGAATAAAATAAGATTTGACAACATGGGGTTTTTCCGGGGCTCTTCAGGATCTACAGGCCTTTCCAGGAGCCTGTGCGCTGGAGTCCTTTCAGGTCCTGATGTGCCTGTAGTTCAGGTCGGCCACTGCTCAGGCTCCAAGGAAGCAGACCAAGCAAGCACTGAGGGTTCGAGGTGGGAAAGGCCTCTACTAGGTGGGATGGGGGTGAGGAGGGGAGTAGAGCTAGGGAAAGAAATAATAAAAACAGTGCTAATGGAAGACTCTTTACTTTTTTGGAGTGGTGAGAAGGCAGCAGCAGGGAAAAGGTGAGATTTGGGGCCAGCATTGCAGTTTGTAGCCAGACACATAGATCTAAGACCCAGAATAGCCACTTACTGTCTAAGTGAATTTAGGGCCATCAGCAATGTCCCTGGACTCGGTCTCCTCACCTGTAACATGGGCACAGGTAGGACCACCCGCAGCACTGTTGCCAGGGTCCAGGTTTCCACAGGGC